AGCTGCGTTGCCGTGGGGAGTTCGTCGGAGGTAGACTTACCGGAAGGAGGAATGGATGCCGGCTAGGGTTTTGATTGACAGCTAGGATTTTGATTGACGGCTAGGGTTTTAAAATTAGAGTTTGGTATTTTTGATGATGGCTAGGGTTTTGAGAGTTAGGGTTTACTTCATAAACTCTGATACCATGTTAATTTGAGAGAGTAAAAAATATACTCCTTGATTCAAACATGTAACTTAGGTCTTCTTATACAGGAGAATGACCTACTACAAACAAGGAAAGTAATAAACACCATAAAGACTGAATATCAACACTAAAGACTAAATATTGACAACTAATATTGACACCTAATATTTACACAGATATTGATAAATCCAACAATAATATATGATTCTCCCCTTAAATAAGTATCTTTACAATTTACTCTATATTGTTTAACAAGTTTCAATTTAGTCATTTTTTCACTTATGTCTTTTTTGTTGGTTAATGTTGAGATTGGAGGCCGTAAACTTATATGGCATAATACTTAGTTGGTACAAATTAGAAAGAAAAGGTTTCTAATTCCTCCAAATTTCTAAGAAATTGGTAAAAAATTTGACTTTTGTGGCCTAATTTCTTATTTAAATATTTGCAAGTTACAAGTATCATGATTTGTAAGCTCACAATGAGCCAATTTTAAATTTCACTGCTGAAAGAAGAGAATAATTGAAAAATATTAAAATGCAAGGGTCTAAATTGAAACTTTGTAAACAATAGGGACTAAATTGAAAAAACTCGGAACTAAAACAAACAATCAGCCATAATTCTTTTGACTTGGAATCATCAGTTTGGTTACTATCGAGCACATCTCATGTCTCAGAAAGTGTTGAACGAAGCTGGATATGTAGGTTCAAATACTGAAAAATATCCTCTTGGAGGCATCATTTCAGCAATTGAGAATGCTTTTCATGCCACCCCTTCGCTAGTCTGTTCAAAGGATGCAGTGAAGGAACTTCATTTATGTTTCTACAAGGATTTCAAGGTTCCTTTCTTAATTTCCATAAACTCTGATTAAATCCAAACATCGGTGTCGTAGATAACAATTTTATTTTTAGTTTTCTCAGTGTTATGCCTGCTTCCTCAATTTGTTTTAGTTTTCTCAATATGATTCCTTCATCGATTACACTTTTAGTGAAAATAGTATTTATAAGCTTAATTTAAAAAAAAAAAGCTGAAGATAAAATAGTTATCAAATAGGGCTTAACAAAAACAGATGCCTATCTTAAATTGAATGAGATTTTTAATAACTCCCTGCGTTGATACTTTTTTGATTATCTGTCTTCAAATTGCTCGTGTGTTTATGGGTGGGTTTGCATGACTTTTATAATAGTGAAAACTTCGTTGGTGCTTGGTTTGTTCTAAAAGCGCTTAGAAGCGCTTTCAGAAATAACACTTGATATTATTTTCTTTCATCCGTGCTTATAAATATCATGCTTCATTTCAAACTTATTCTTTTCTGATCTTTATAGGATATCTTTGTGATATTTTAATGATCTTTGCTTTGTTGCAGCCTCGTGACTGCGTTCTGACCGACTCACAGAATTCGATCGTTTCTGCGAAAAAATCGTGTCCCAAATATGTTAGCTTACCAGCATATGAGCCAGCAGGCAAGGTCTTCAATGAAATCCTCTTAACTGACTCAAGCAGGCAAGATCTAAGTGCTTAAATATATAGCAAATACTATTATTTCTCTGATCAAGAGAGATATATTTAATTATGAATCTGTATTATTGAATCTTTACAATCTGCTAAATATTTCTTATACCTTACCTTCTGGAAGCCATTGTAAATTGGTGGGCTGAAAATTAACAAGAGAGGGGATGGGAAGTTTGCTAAAAATGCACATTTTTATCCTTAAATCTTGATATCTAATACCTTGTCTTTTGAAAGTCTAATTTCTTTTAGTGATCTCCATCCACATCGACATTTTAAACCTTGAATCTTCCAACCCTTCGAGACTTTCTAAGACTGAACTTTGGCCCCGAGCAATCTTAGTTATTGGTGGGGGTTCGATCCGTTAGCAGGTCTTTGTTTAGTCATTCAGATAGTTACTGGCGCGAATTCCTTTCTCATGCAAGATATACAGAATTGGTGCTTTGGCAGTGTTCCACGTTTTGTTTTGTCTCTTCAAGTTTCACAGCCTAAACAAGTAATTTGTATATTTTACCTGTCATATGCGAGTTTAAAAATGTTTTTAAGAAAATGAAAAACGAAAAATAACGAAAGATAAGAAATGATTGCCAAAAGCTATTTTGAATACTTAATACATCCCATTCTCAAGTATCTGAAGTTGTAGGCTGCTCGAATCGTTCGTCTTTTAGATGTAAATTTGAACTCTAAGAACTGATCTCTTGAGTTAGGAGATTTGGGAAGTCTTCATTTTTCTTCAGTTATTTTGTCATCCATTGTAGATCATAGGATATTAAACTTTTTTTTTTTTTTTGAGATATCGACATTTCCGTCGACATTTTCATATGTTCGACATTAACATGAAAAGTAAATCGATATTTCTATATCACACAAGAAAATCCACAAAATGTATGGATATAATATTAATATTAATAACTTTTAACTCATTTAAAAAATAGTGAAATGTTTATTTGTTTATTTAAATATTTGATGTGAATTTTTATAAGTTCTTGTCTATTGAAATTGACATTTTATTGATATTTCCATCAATATTTCCATAAATTGAGACATATTTCTATCGACAACGTGAATGAGAAAGCAGGCGACATATAATGCTAGTTCTCTATATTTCTTTATTCAATTCACAATAAATGTTTGCATCAACACTATTAAATTAGAATAACATAAAACAAATTAATCTGAATATAGTTCAATTGGTTAAAGTATATATATCCTAACTAAATGTTGTGGTTTGACTCTCGATCTCACATGATGTTCTACTAAGAAAGAGAATAACATAAAATAATTGTTTAAACATAAAATAATCATGAAGCGCTTTCATGATGTTCCACATGATGTTCTGAATATAGTACATCGTTGCAACCGCCTCCGAGCCCGTAAACGACCCTAACGATTGGAGATGTACGTTGTTCGAACCCATATATGATTCATATGCTCGGCAAAGCTTTACATATATACAATAGTCCCCAAGTCCCCAACATTCCCAATGCAGCCTGTCCCCATGGAGATCCTAATTATAAGCAATCGCAAGCATTCTACAGCATCGTGGATTGGGGCTCCATCTATATACTGCCAAAGTATGTGGCCTTCAAGGGGATCAATGGGAAGTACCTAAAGTTTAGTTCCGCAGATGTGCTTAGTTTTTCAGGTTCTGATAGTAAGGATTCAACCATTGCTTATGAGATCATCCCTAAAAAATATGGTAATATTCGTATTAGGGATGTTGAATATGGCACCCTTTGGATTCGCGATTGCCGCGGTTGGATCACCGGCAAAAAGATAGATGCTAATACCACCAATCCCGACACCTTGTTTTGGCCCTTCGAAGTTAAAAGACAACATACAACATTGTCACCTTTCGTAATTTGGGTGAGCTGAGCTTCTTACAAAACTTTCACTCGACTCAAAAACTTAAGCTATATCTATTCTTATATTTTCAACGTGAGATCTTTAATATGTCTCCTTAAGATCGTGGTTCTTTTGCCTCATCGATTTTGACTAGATCCCATTTTTGTACCGAATGCTCATTTGAGCTTGTCAGACTCTAATAGCATATCAATATTCATGAGGTTTCATCTTAAAATCAATTGACAATAAGAAAAGTAGTTCATATTTATTATAAACCTATGTCCTTTTATCCTTAAGAGGAAGACAAACAAGGAGGAGGGTAGAAAAAAACAGTACTCCAAATGCTAGAGATACTGTAATTAGAAAAGAGGTTTGATAGTGTGGACCAAGATGGAAAAATTATAGTCACGAAAGAGTTATATTAATTTAATAACAAAAGGGACCTAAAAGGGTTTATAAGATAAGTGGGTGACCAAAAGCTTTGGAACTGTAGTTACAAGATTTAGACTCATTAATCAGTATATTCTACAGTAAACTGTAAAATACTTCTTTTGGTTTGTCATATTGCTCAGATTGATACCTTCTTTTTTTATGCAGTGGTCAATTTTACAGGATTTTACTAGATGAGATGCATTCCTATTTTTTTATATTTTCAGAAATGTTTTCAAAAGCTGTATATAAAGTTTGTAACCAAAAGTCATGATTTTTTTAGTTCAATTTCCTTAAATCATAAAATTAATCTCTAAATTTTAGCATTTCCCTAAACTTCAAAAGGTTTCAATTAGATTTCCAAGCTATAAAAATTGCTTCAATTAAGTGATCATGTTGTTCACAAGTGTATGTTGTCTATTGGCCACATCTGGAAAAATCAACCCATTTTTTATATAATAAATATGTCATGTTCGTGGTTCTAAATATCTGTCGACACTGGACACGTCAATATTTCCATCAGACACATCTATGTTTTCATGGGTTCGACATCGACATGAGGGATGAATCGACATTTCCATCGTAGTACAAGAAAATCGACAAAATATAAAAAATATCAACAAAATGTCACTAATAATATTAATTATTTCTACTAATTCAGAAATCGAAAAATGTTTATCTGTTAATTTAAATAATTTTTACGATTTTTTAATTTTTCTAACTATTACAGAAATATTCATCGACATCGACATCGACATTTTATCGACATTTCCATAAAATTGAGGTCTCGACATTTTCATCGACATCGATATTTAAAATTTTGGTCATGTTAAATACTAGACACAAACTTTTTTTTTTTTTTTTGAAAAATTTCTTGGACTAGAAGTAACTATATTTTATCCAAATATTATTTAAAGAGTTTAAAATTCAGTTTTTAGTACAACAAAAATGTGGGGTGTATGGGATTTGAACTTCCAACCTCAGCAGAATGAGTAAACATGGATTATATTTACCAGTTAGCTATGTTGATATTGGAAAGAGCTTAAAATCATTCAATATAGAAATTATACAATAATTAAAATATGATTAAATTTAAGTGTTAAGCCAAAGCTAGTTATAAAATATGAATCATATCTTGAAATGTCATGTAAAGTTTGGGGAAATTTCTAATTTCCATTATATTCATAAAACATATCATGTTTTTAGATATAACTCCATGAAAATACTTCATATATCATCATGATTGTGTTGGTCTTAGATTAAGTGTTCAAGTCTTAATTAATTTCTTGCCATAGATAAGTTCAAATCCTATTTTCCAAATCCCCAACCCTTGGTGATGAAACCTATAAGTTATAACATATAGTTTGATAATTAACCTCCCTATTTTTTTGTCTTTCTAGTTTTGAACAGACAAAATCAACCATAACTACTACTTTTAGTTTCCATTTCCTAGCAATAGAAAACGAAAAAACAACTTTTGTGACAATTTGATAATTAAGTTCCCTAATTTTGGCTTTCATTTATAATCTTTCAATCATAATTGTATATAAGAATTGAAAAACGATGATGTTAAATTATTAATTTATTATTTTAGTCTCAAAGCGAGCATAGCTCATCAGTAATTGGCATAAACTTTATTGTGAGTTCGAATCTCTGGTCTCGTTGATTCCTTTTATTCTAGAAGATTGATGCGAATTTGACAGAATCCCAAGAAGCTAAATTAGATGCTTTAGAAAATTATGTGCAAACACGAAGACTTCCAAAACTTAACATCAATCACGTTGTGTGTATGCTAAAGGCCAAATAACATACGTATGTTATTTATCCAACCTTTATCCTACCCTTTATCCTATGAATTATTGAACTTAAAAAAAGACTCATATAATTCCAACTGAAATCCATACTATAAAATAAGGTTAGTAAATCTTGGACCTATATTAAACTTAAAAAAAAAAAAAAGAAAAAAAAAGAAATATGTAAACCTTCCACCTATCAAGAGATTTTCAATATCTCGACTATTGTACAGTAAAATCCCTATTATTTTTATTTTTTAATTTTTCCTTTTTCCATTATGCTTCAAAATCCCTATTATTTCACAGCAATCAATTCATTTGACAATTATATTATTTGTCTGTTTTCAGTCGTCATATATCACAGCTCATTGATTGCTAATAATTTTGTTTCTTGTTTAATTTATTTTACGTCAGAGTAATAAACTATGTTTATGCAAAGAATTACACAACGTTAAACCTTGGTTAAGCTCGAATTCGTCTTAGCTCCGACTTGAATCTCAACGGGAAGACATGCAAAAAATGGCAAAATCTCCGACACTCAAGTTAGTAAGAAGTTTGAACTTAATATTAAGTTCGAGGAGAAATTTGATACCTGATGGTGGGTTGATGCCCTCCATTTATAGATTTAGTCACCGACAGGGGTTACGACAAGCGGTTATTCTAGTCGGAGTTGAGGTCGAACCTGTCGGGTCAAGCAGATCGAACTTGGACAGTTTGTCCCTGACATTGGTGATTTAGCAAGAGAAATAATGATCAAAGTTATCCACCTGGAAAGGTGTCAGGTGGACCTGCATGATTTTTTATTTGAAGACATTTTTCTGGCGAATCACTGTCCTCCACGTGCCACTCTAGTCTTCTTCCTTAAACAAACTAAATTAATATGGTTAGTCCTTTCTCAATCCTATCACAACGTATTGATGGCTAATAATTTTGTTTTATTTCTTCAAATTATTTTACATCTTTTTGTCCTTTTTTAAATATTTATTATTAATTAGCTAATTTTCCTCGAGTGAAAGCATATGTACGAGCCCATATAGTATTAGAGTTCAAATCAGACGACAATATACATTTGAGGACTGGAAAATAAAATATAAGATTCAATTTTAATTATTTTAAAAATTATGAAAGTTATTTTTTCATGAACAAATATCTCTCATAGAGGAAAATGA